TTCCATTCCACTATTTTCTCCTTTTCTTCTCTGGCACATTTCTTCTCTGGCACAATCCTGTCATTTCTTGAGCAACAGTTTGCTACAGATACAGAATCTGCTCCTTTTGTCTCAATTACTTCACACAACTGCTAGTCTAAGCCCTGAAGCTGCCCTGTCTGGAGCACTGTTACTCTCTCTAGGCCCATCTCCATCAACTCATTCAGGGCTATGCAGGCTCAAACAAGATACGAACTGAATCCTGGCCAATGGCACTCGATGCAACTGCCAAATGGGTCAGAAAAATGAACTTGAGGGGCCAGACCCAGCCCTATGTTTGAGACCACTGCCCTAGTCTTGGTCTACTGCTGCCTCAATAACTCTGCTCCCGTCTTCAGTCTCTTGTCTTGCCCTTCCTGCCCTCTCCAATCTTCCCCTTCTGGCAGACATCCTGCACCCCTGCTCTCTTCTCCCATTGTCAGAGTTTGCTCATACTCCTCTCTTGCTCCTTAGTAGTGCTGGATTGAACTACCGACAGAAATCAGAACTCCTCAGTCCCTGCACCCCTTTTGGTGCCTGCTCCAAACTGACTCATCTGTTTAAACAGCAACCATGGTCTCTGAGCTCCCAGCTGCATTCTCCCCTGCATCCTGGGCTCTCAGGTTGGTTCGGTTTGCCTGTTGTTCCTGCTTAGTGTAGACATGGAGTTCAGGACACCAGGCTGCCTTTGCTGCTGTCTAGTTTCCATGTCGTCTGTGTGTTGCTTAGTTTTGCCTGGCAGAGCACTTGCCCTGCTCTTCTGGCTTGTGCTGGCCTTATTTGTAATACTTGATTGTTACTGTAAATTCCATATGTGTATTGTACAAGGACAAAAAAAGTCATATTCCCAGGATAAGGGTATCTGCTAAGAAAACAAATAATCTTAAGAAGAGGTCTTGGAGTATGCTGCTCCTTATCTATCAGTTTGGAGCGGTATGCATTTTTGTTATTCCATAGAGAAACCCTGTATCATGACTGATGTTGTTTCCAAGCCCTGTAGAACACAGTTAATCGAGTTGATTTCCTTTTGCGTTGAAGCTGACAACCTGCAGACCTCACAGACTGCAGCTCCTCATTATACCACACAGAACCTGAGGGAAAAGATACCCAGTGTGTTTTTCATATGCAGCATTGTTCAACTCTGTGAAATTATCAAGTGATATTGAACCATGGTTAAAGAAGGAATGCTAGAATATGACCTGTATTGGTGAACAGCATTATTGAATTTATACACGAAGGATTTCCAGGGTCATTACCAAACAGCTGTGACTTGATGTTGATGAAAATTCCCTGGGATCCTTCGAGACAGATGAACACGATGCTTGTATTATTTACACTACCCGACAAAGAAGAGATGGACAGAGCAATTCTATCGTTTGTAACTCTTCTAATTTGTGCTCTACCCTGGCACAAAGGGAGACTGAACACTGTTCAGACAGCCAGTGAAGGGACATCAACATGAGATAAACAAGTAGATGTCAATGAAAGTAGAAGTAAACACAAGATTTTGGCTGTGGAGGCTTCTTTGGGTGAGCTAATGTTTTTTTTTTTTCAGATGTAACAGGCTTCTTATACACCATGGACACTGTTTCTCCTCCTTTAACTTGTGACCAGTATCACTCCGTTTCCTGCATGTCATGGTATCAGTTTGTTTTATGCCATAACACGCTGTCTGCTTTCAGAGACAAACCTTTATCAGACAGATTTCAAACCCCTATTCACAGATGCTCCTTATTTACATACACTACTTAGAATTCATACTTTACCCTGGAATTAAACCAGGACTCCATCATGTTTTGTTTGATTTTCTTTGGTGACTAAGAAAGCACTGTCCTATCTATTGTATTGTAAATTGGTCATGAATCACGATGTATTTTGAAATGGGATTTGTACTGTTATGGACTTTATTTTTTTGTAATTAATGCAAAGTGCTTTGTTATTTAGCCTTTTGTTAGCTCCATTTTGGCTGTGCAGTGTTAGGCAGAATTAAATAATTAATAATAACCACTGTCTTTACAGATTGTGCCCCTCACACATCCTTTATTACAAACCAGAGCCCTGAGTTTACCCATTACCAGTTTCACAGATACCTGTTCTCATCTGCCAACGGAAATTGCTTTTTTTTTGTATAGGCAACTTCATCGGCACTTATCAGCAATGTGCAATACGACTTAAATCTTCCTGTGGAATCTTGATGACCATGAATCACTGAAAAGTAATCTGAATTCACAGAATTCACAATTTCTCTCACCCCTGTCACTTCTGGTCAAGGCCCACAGTTTCCTGGATAAATAGGAAACAGCAGTTAAGGTATTTAGCCAAATGGTACATTCTTGGAGCTGCTCTTTCCCCTCGGGTAATAATTTAATCTGGTTTTCTCTCTTATGTAGGTGTAGATATCAGAGACAATGTAAAAGCTTTAAAGAGGATGGCCCTTGGAGCCGTCTCTCACCCAAAAGGTCTGTATCGCCTACCAACTATGAAAGTGCAGTGAGCCTTACTATCCTCACCTACACTTAGATTAAATGTGGTTAAAAAAAGCCATTAACAGCACTGGTCTTTGCTCCTGGAAACTTTCCACTTGCTCATTATCCATTGACATTTGTCATGTCTGTTAAACTATTTATGGATATTTATAGACAGGACATATTAGCAACAGAGGAACAACATCTGAGTGAGAAGACAGTTATCTCAGTCAGTTTGTGCAGTTGTAATTATTTCCTCCCTAATCATACTTTTTTTTAGGGAAGGGTGCCGCAAACTAATGGTGTAATTATGATTTAATGCTGTCAATAAAGGAGAAGACGAAGAGAAAACTTGTGCCCCCCCCCCGCTCCAAAATAAGATGTATTCCCACAGAAATAGGCTGGTAATACAGTTGGCTTTACTTTATTTATATTGAATGACTTTCTTAATAGGCCATTATTTTCTGCCCCATGACCTTCCCCATGACAAAATGAATTTGATGTGTCCTTTAAAGCCAGGTCTGACAAGTTTAAATTTAAATCTTTAAATCCGACACCTTCTGCATCTCCTTAACCTGAGAAATTCACATTCTCTGTAGAAATAAAGCTACAGTATATGAGCTACTTAGATCAATACTTTCCAATGTATCCTGCATATTTATTTCCAGCAGCTGAGAGGATGTAGCATAATGGCCACAGATACTGCCTCTCCTTTATGGCTGCAATATCATTGCCAATGCATTTTTTAAACAAAACCTTCTTTCTCAAACAGTATTAATTTGTCATTAGGACCTTTTTTTCCTATATAGTATATTCATGTTTTACAGGAATTGGTTTAGCTACAGCCATCAAAATCTAATTAAAAAAGAAAGCAAACAAAGCCTAATTAATGAACCTAAAGGCTGCACTCAGTAATTCAAGCAGGCTTTCAGTATAAACAGAAAAGCAAAAACAGGCTGTCACACGTAGCACAATACATAGAAAACCCAATCCCATTGGAAACAGATCAGAAAACAACATTGTCCTAGTTTAAAATGGATTAAGGAAGACAATTTAGGTTTGTACGATTTATAGGTTCCATCTTATCCTGCCTTTCATGCCAAAGGTCTTAGTGACCTTATATATGACCACCAGTATTTTTTAGTTCTTTAGTTCTGCTGTTTCTATCCTTCACAAAAAAAGGTTACATTCTATTTGATTGGTGGACTGTAGCGACCTTATAAAATTTCACTGGCAGACTCAGATTCAAAGATGTTGCTCAGGACACTACCTGCATTATAGGAAACCAATGCGTTTGCATCATAAATATACTTCTTTATAAACATCTTATTCCCTTAGGTATGATGAACGGAATGACTTAAGAAATAGTGCAGTGGACCTCACGACTTTCTATTGGAAAAACGGAATCAATAATATCCATGAAAGCAAGGTTTTTGGGAATATCTTAATGCGATCGATTAATGGCTCACAGCCATAAAAAAATTCTCAGGCCTAATGTACAAAGCAGCATTTCATACTGTATCTGTTCAGATTGTAAATGTTGGTACTGCATTTGTCTTTGACACACTTTCCTCCTAATTATTAGATTATTTCTGATTGCTCTTTTTTTATCATCACCAGAGACATTCAATTAAAACTCAAATCGAACAAAGAACCTCAAGGACACCTTGATGTAGGACTACAAAATACAAAAAAATACCCGAGATGATCTAATTCTTAGTTTCTATTACTAAGTATAGTAGTATTTGATGTGGTTCGGTTTTGGGACTTCAGCTGTTACAACAACAAAACCCATGCCCACCGAGGAATTCAGAAATAGAAGTAGTTTAAAACAAAAAAAATCTGAATTTTATACTAAATCTACAAGCTGTTCGAACATATCTATAGCTAAAACAATTCAAAGAAAAATAGTTTACCACATCTCTACTTACAGGTAAATATTACATCAGATGCTATTAGCTGATTACTGAATATTTTTCTTGAATAATAGATAAGATACTTTAAACACAACTGATCTATTGATATTTACAGTTTCAGGATGCTGGAGTTCATAAGGTATGACCCTCCCGTCAACCAAAACAGACAAATTGAGTTGATACTGTAATCGGAGTGCATTCCTCAGTATTGGAAACATAGAAAAACATGCATGTCTTAAACACAACGTGTTGGTACACGAGGGACTCAGAAGCCTACCTCCGCAGAGTGTGTGTTAAGTACAGGTCTACCAGGAACCGAATCCGTACAATTCGCCCAGAAATTACAAGTGCAATCTAAGTGCACTTCTCGCAGAAATGCGAGTCTACACTGTTAGGGAATTGATACATTGATCTCAATCAAACCATAGTGGACTGGTCATTAAATATGGAGTTTTAAACACCAGAAAGCCCTTCACAGTTTTCTTGATTAACCCTAACACATGCTCGGTTTAAACTGGTGGGTGAAAGCCTGTCGGTGCCGAACACATTTGAACATTGACGGTAAGCTGAGATTTTGCGCCAGGACTCTGACCTCTCATACCTGTCTGTTTCCTGTGAGAAGCACCAGCTCTTCCCTCCCACTCTTCTGGCTGCAGGTTAACTTCAAAGGGCACTCTGCTCTCCCCCAGATTACTTCACTGTTACAGAACAAAAAACAGACAGCTCAGTGCCTCGTGCCTCCCTTCTTTTAATCTCTTTCCTTGTTTTTGTTCTTTCTTTAGTTTTCGTAAGCTTTTCGACGACAAGGCAACTTGCAGTTTCATAACCTTTCGCTTCAAAAGGTTCCGCTTATTCACTTCAGCAATGACTTTGCCTCCACTGACAAGAAACTTCAAACTCCCTCTGTAAACACAATGGGTGAACGAGCACACACACACTCACTCACACACACACACACCCCTTGGAGACTCAGATTTCAGGATTTTTTTTTTTACCTCCTTCTCAGGAGTAGTTTCTATTTGGTGTCTTCAGATTAGAGACCGTGAGGTGGGGTGAGGGTAGGGAAACTTGCAAATGATTACCCATCCATGACAAAAGAAAGGAGACAAACTCTGAGCAGGTCTGGAATGCAGGATCTTAAAGTCTTCACCCACAGAGAGAAAAGAGAGGGGAAAAAAGGTTGTCTTCATTACTGTACTGTGTGACCCCAATGGAAATGATTAACAGTGAAGCATAGTGACAGAATAGAATTAATGAAGGTTATCTGGTATGGAACAATTGAGTACTTACTCCTAAGTAAGAAAGAGAGAAAATAATTGCTAACATGGAATTATGCATATATTTTATCTAATGTCAATGTTCCAATTAAACAGGTCATTTGAATTCCCTTTCTGTGGTATGTTACAAGAATTATAATGAACAAGTATCAAAAAACAAAACTCACATTTTTGTCAAAATTCATAGACACTTGCAGTGTTTGCTGAGACAATGTGGTAAGCACTGCAAGACCTAGATGCAGGGCTGATGCTATTTTTCTTACATAGAACCATTTTCCGCTGCGTAAACGTGGAGTCTTGCCTATAAAATCCTTCTCTAGCTGTAATTTCACTTGTATGAGGCATTCATAAACTGTATATTCTTCACAAACACCACCTTCAAAAGCTGAGAATGGGAAAGCTACAGCAAGAGTTTAAATGAAATCAGCAACACCTGAGGCCGGTTTGAGAAAAAAGCTATTAAAGTGAAGACAACTAAGTAAAAAATGCCTTTGAATTTGACTTGCAAAATAAACATATTCAATTACACTTTCATATATTAAATATGAAATATTCATGCCCTTCATATATTAAAATTATCCACATAACATATAGAACAATACTTCATTTGAATCTGAGCAAATTGTGATTAAATAAAAAACCTAAATACCCATAGACAATATTGATTATTAAGGGTACTCATCAGATGTAATTTTGTTTTCTGATCTGAAGTTCAAGGTGGCATTGACAGGTTAATTTCCAAATGATCATAATCAAAACACAAACCACACTGCATTCCTCCACAGTACAGCATTCGAAGTAAATAAGTGATAGTTGTAGGATCTGGAGTTACCGTAGCAACCAACCTGTTATTTTCACCTTTACAGTACCTTCCTACATTCCAGAGGCCCACTTAGATTCCTGTAAACATTCCGAGGCTGCATTCTGAACTCCTGACAGGGGCTGCCTTCCAAGTCAAAGGTAGAGCATCCTCTCCCAGCCAGTAGCTCTCAGAGGTTAGGGATACATAATGTTTTGCAACACTAGTAAAGTAAACATCATCTTCTGGCTCACTGCTTTTCTGTTATGAAATGATTTATATCGAAGCACAGCCTACATCACTGTGCTACAGACCAAAAATGTATTACAGGATCGTTCTTACCCTACCCGTATTGTAGTAACATATCAGTACAGAATCAGGCCTGATCCTAGACTTTAAAAAAAAATGTATTCCACGTGTTCCTCTATACCTCTTTTGTCTTTCATCTTTTTCACTTAAGTAGTGATTAATATGAGCAAATATCCGCACCACTGCTGTGATAATTGATTCTTTCATGGGATTAATTTCCAGCATTTTTTTCAGATTTTTTCCATCAATCATGTTTTAACACTCCACTTGAAAGAAGGGAATATTCAACTTGAATATTAGCATCTGTAAGTGGTGGTGCTACTGCCGACTAAAGAACACAGT